GTGAGGTGTTACAGGTTACTACATTCGGCACATTGAAAGCCGAATTTGTCTTAGTTTGACCAATATAAGAAAAGATATGTTTTTTTGCAATTTAGTACAACAAAGATGGAAATTGGTGTGTCATGCAATAAAATATATCTAGTGATAGCGTTATATAAGAGTTTCAAAAGTCTTGCAAATCATGCTATCGTTAAATAAGAGTTTATTTGCCATTAATATAATTTTTAAAAACAAAATTAAATGCCATTCTAAGACAGATCAGATTTATGTAAATTGATAAACTCAGTTTTGATTATCTAAAGTAAGAATCATCATTTCCATCTTTTCTAGGAATTAACTATTACTAATTTATACACATACTTTCTTCTGCTAACTTATTGTGAATACATGACTAATTATTTGGTTGTCTAGTGAAAGGTTTAAGGCCAACGTTCAAAAGTATAAAAAGGCATCGTTCCACTAAAGATATGCTTTGTCCATATTTTTCTAAATATGTGAAAGAACATATCAGATTAAAATATATGGAGAGGGTATATCTATGGTGGAAATGTCTACTTTTGTACTTTTGGATATTCAATCTAACCTTTCAATATGCAAGCAGGTAATTTTGTCATGTATTTAGATCATGTGAAAAGAAGATAGTTTGTGTGTGTGCGTGTGTGTGTGTGTACGAGTAATATCTAATTCCCCTAAAGAGAAAGCTTAGTAAAAATTGAAATTAAATGTAAAATGTCAATAAAACAAAATTAATAAAGTAATAATTAATTTTACATACCTTTGAATGTTTGTGTGTGTGTGTGTGTGTGTGTACGAGTAATATCTAATTCCCCTAAAGAGAAAGCTTAGTAAAAATTGAAATTAAATGTAAAATGTCAATAAAACAAAATTAATAAAGTAATAATTAATTTTACATACCTTTGAATGTTTGTGTCATCATTGCTTGAAAACGTATTTGTCAACCTTGTAAGTTCGTTGCTGAGTTAGCATTTTTTTTTTCCATTTCCTAAATTGTAAAACAAAGTGTTAAAAAAAAACGTTTTATAGCAGTTAATAAATAATATGTAATAATTATTTGACATGGATTGAAAAATGGAGTCATATGTAGGATGAAAGAGTAAAAACAAAATTTGAATAAATAAAAAATAATTTGTAATCCATAATCATGCATCATTATCTATTTCATGTTAAACATAAAAGATAAGGACTATTACTATGAGTGAAGCTAGTGTTTTTGGTATGGGTGTTCTAAACCAAAAGCAACCAGAAGCAACAAGAAAAAGGGAGAACCACGGATGATCAACACGTGGCATAATGTAAACCAAAAGCAACCAGAAAAGGCTTTAAATACTGGACTTGAGAGTGATAGGAGGAAGAAGCAAGGATAATGGACAGGTAGATATAAGAACCAGTGACAGAGAAATAAAATAATAACATGCATAGAAAAGAAAACTCACTATAACTCTTTACTTTGTCATTATAGTTAAAACTTAAGTGAGAGAGAAATAAAATAATAACATGCATAGAAAAGAAAACTCACTATAACTCTTTATTTTGTCATTATAGTTAAAACTTAAAGTTTTAACCATAATGACAAAATAAAGAGTAAAATGAATAGTACAATAATTGACTTTTTAGTGTCAAAATGTGGTTTTTCGTTAAAATGAACAATACCGGGAGCTTTTCGTTAAAATTCCCTTTAAATTTTTGTTAAACTAGCAAGTGAATAATTAAAAAATTATTTTAGTTACTCAGTTTAACGTTCTTTTATAACAAACTTTAAGATATTTTAATGTTAACAATTCAAACTCAACTCACTCATTTTTTAAACTACTTTTTCTCTTTCTTTTCACCTTGCTCAAGGGTCCACTATTAAGTTTTATTATTTTTTATATTTAGCGAGTAAATAGTTACACTTCAAATTTAAAGAGTGACTATTCATTTTGCTATCATAGAAACTCTTTTACACCATCTCTTGGAGATGAATTTTTTGAGTTTGGCTCTTTAAAATAAAGTTTGGGTTTGTTTTACAGAGAAGTTGCAACAGCCAGTGAGAGAGTTCATGAGAAAAACAATTATATATATAATAAACAAAACAATCACCAATTGTTTTACCACGTGAATAAACACATTGGTTTTTGGACAGTACCCATCCGCTGAGCTTTAGTATATATAGAATATCAACAGTTTGATCCTCATATTTGTAATACAGTAATTCAATAACACTATCTGACATACAAAGGATCTCTAATAAAGTGACGATTCCTCTTGACATGTTTTGTTTTTTAGATAATCAGTGGATATCTTGTTATAGCAATTACAAAGGTGTTGTTGAATTTTAGTGATATAGCATCTACTTTGAAAGCGTAGCTGGGTCAAGGAACCCAAACCCAATAGATGAATAATCTCAACTAAATTCCATACGAGGATTCGAGTACGATTTCAATCATACTACGTAACTGTGAAGAACAAAATGAAATAGAGAAAAAGGAACAAAAGACTCGCGATATCATGGGCACACAACCTATTAAAAAACCATTAAGAAATAAGTACTTTTACAAGACTCAACAAGACAGACATCTACTACACTTGAAATTTTATGTTGTACTTTTAATCTTGTAGCACGCAATCTTTGTTTTGCTCTCTTTTGGATGAACACGACGCACTCAGCAGGTTCTCCTTACAACTAAAGAGATTGCACTCAACTTCGTCACATAGATGGACACAACTTCTTCACACAAATGAATATGATGAATAATATGAAAGGTATGAAGTGTTTCACTAAGATCACTCTTCTAACCTAGCACTCAAGAACTTTGCTTTAAACCTTTTGTGCTCAAATCTTATAACCAAGCAAAGATGAATGATAGGCTTGATTTCCTATGAAACTAACAACCTAGAATAAAGGAAACTGGAATTATGTACTAGAATAAAATCAAATTGATTTTATTTCTTAAAACTAGGCAATTAAATTGATATTATAATCTTCAAGATGTGCAATGATGTGATTCTCGTTTCCTATATGAATGCAAATTTCCACCGTCTTCAATCTTGACGAAAATGTATCTGCAAAACAATCAACACATTTGATCAAAGACCTAAGCCTCACGTGCCCACGAGGTGGGGGGTGTTAGGTCAATGGATCTCCGATGCCTAAGTCAGTTTCTCTGAGGAGAATAAAGTGTTTATGGCTTTTTTAGGGTAGCAAAAGCTCTGAAAATTTGGTAAAATATGAGGTATTTATAGGGATAAGGCCGGCTATAGTGTTAGGGTTTTACCCTACACATGATGGCATCCTATTAGCCAAAGTGTTTATGGAGAAATATTCTCATAATATTCCCAAGACATTAAATAGAAAATAATATCTTGAGATAATAGAGTAATTATCTCTAATTTATTTAAATTGGAATTACTTACTTGATTGAAGTCAATCTTCAATTAGGAATGTATTAAAGATAGGATTTGGGTAATTAATCCTTATCTTTAATTCATTGCCAAGGTCAGGTGAGTCGTATTCAGTTGCTGAGACATTCAACAATGTGAGCTATGCGTGGGAGTATCTGAGAAGCCTGCCCATTTATTGAGGGCAATCTTGACTTTCTTGAGAGAAAAATTCGTGTGTCGCCTCTAGAATTTTCGGGATTATTTTAGTCTCTACAAATGCCCCTACACTTACTAGGCTGCAAGCAAGAAAAGGATAGTAGGTGTAGAAATCTCAAACCGCTTGGGCTTGTAAAGTTGTTTCCCAATTTGAACTTGATCTCCTTTCTTGTTTTGAAGATAGACTTCTTTTAGGAAACGGAAACCAATTGCGCCCAATACCTATTCAATTCTGCCTTAAGCAGTGGATTAAATAAATTTGGAAAGCAATTATTATTCCAACCAGGAAAATAAGCAAGAGGAAATTTTGCTTCCCCCTCCCCTAGCTTTCTTTTTCTTTTGCCCTTATAAAGAGTCGTCTCTCGTTGTTCTTCTCCATGTCGCACCAAGGTAAAAAAAATTTGAATTTTCTTCTTGAATGTTTTTGGGAGTCTTAGGACTTGAAAAATTGGCTCAGCAGAAGCTAAGAGGTGTGAGTGGCGTGGCAGGGATGCCGCGGGGCTGCTGATGGTGTGGCAAGAAGGTCGGCTGGCCTGGGCTAAGAGCTTGGGTCGGCTCGGGCTGAGGGGATCAGCGTGCTAGGGCACGAGGAGGCCGACTTGGGTCGGGTCTTCAAGGCCACTTGGCATGGGCCCGTGCAGGCGAGAGGAGTGAGAGAGAAAAGGAGAGGCCGGCTCGGGCCGGGACTCTCGCTGGCATGCTGGGCTGAGGGCCTTGGGAGGAAACTTTGTGAACTAATTAATTATTTAGGGCTTAACTCAATAGACACATTAGGCACAAAGCTAAGCACTGGTCTAAATTATTTACTAGCATAACATTCAAGTATTCAACCACTCATGCACAACCCAATGACTTTGTGTTTCATCATGTAACCACAAATATACTTTGAAATGCAGCTTTCTGTTTAGTAATGAAACTGCAACAAGCTATGGTTTCAAATCCCTTTTGATCCAACCAGTCGTTCTTGATCAAGATTCGTCGGAGTCTCAATTGCTATCGTCACCACTATACATGCCTGAAAACACAAACCAACAATGTAAAAAACTTGCGTATGAAGGTACGAGGGCTGTAAACTATGAACGAGCTCAGGGTATCATAATTCATATAAATACTTTTGCAGGTTATATTGAAATAGAAACTGAATTCGATTCCCCCTCGCCAAATCACTTGTCTCCGTCTAGTTTGGGGACACGCAAGTATTGTCATACTTCTTACTCAAACTTAGGTGGAGATATCAAGTACTGTCGTATTTCTCACTCAAATTTGGAGATATGCATTCTGCAGCTGTTTATTAAGTGTTATATTTGCTTATTAGGTCGACATTTACGAGTCTAAAGATTAATTGATCCAACAATGTTCCACCAAAATAGATGAATTAGCACAAGCATCTGAACTCCTTTGAATACATTAAAAGATGTCTCCCTTGTTCTAGCAATTTATTAATATCCCATCACGAGCATACATCCGATACTTTACAACTGACAACCTTTCTCTCCTCTTTTTTTCTTTCTCAAACCTAGTACAGGTTGTAATGAATGTAAATTTATGTACAGCATATGCAGCAAAACAAAACAGCGTAATCAGACGCTTAAAAACACATAAAACTGAATTATCCCACCAGCAGTAAACAATTTTAAAAAGTAGAACAGTCACCTAAGGCTTTCAGTAGATCATATTGCAAGGACAATTGATTGCTAATTTGTTGAAATGCCATAACGGCTGCAAAGAGCATCGATTTGTTTCTCAAAGGACTGTGAAAGCTCAGCGATTGATGTTTTGCAAGCTGAAAAAGTACGAAATACAACCCAAAAGAAAAAGTACTCAGAATGAATAACAGTAGTTTATACATTGTTGGCTCAAGTTAGATTGTTAGTTTGTTACCAAGCACTTACAAGTCTTATTAATGACTCATAGGAGGCAATTTATTATTTCTCACTCTTTTCTTGTTTGTTCAATCTTCTTTCTCTTCTCCGCAGTTATACAATATCTTGCTTTTGATCAATGATTCGCTTCTTAGAACAAAAGGGCCAGAGCCTAAAACCCCACCTGAACAAGCTCCAGTGTAGGGCCTAAAACTCTACGACTGACAACCTACTTTCTCTCCTCCTTTTTTTCTTTCTCAAATCTAGTACAGCTTGTAATGATGTAAATCTATGTATAGCATATGCGGTAAAACAAAACAGCATAATCAGACGCTTAAAAACACATAAAACTGAATTATCCCACCAGCAGTAAACAGTTTTAAAAAGTAGAACACTCACCTAAGGTTTTCAGTAGATAATATTGCAAGGACAATTGATTGCTAATTTGTTTGAATGCCATAACGGCTGCGAAGAGCATCAATTTGTTTCTCAAAGGACTGCGAAAGCTCAGCGATTGATGTTTTGCAAGCTGAAAAGTATGAAATACAACTCAGAGAAAAAGTACTCAGAATGAATAACAGTAGTTTATACATTGTTGGCTCAAGTTAGATTGTTAGTTCAATCTTCTTTCTCTTCTCCGCAGTTATACAATATCTTGTTTTTTGATCAATGATTCGCTTCTTAGAACAAAGGCAACTAGGCAAACAAGAAAACTCAAAAGGGACAGAGCCTAAAACCCCGCCTGAACAAGCTCCAGCGTAGGGCCAAGAACTAATTAAAAAGGAGCAGCAAAGAGAACAGAAAAACAGAAGCTAAACAGAAAACAAACTGAAGAACCTAAGTTAGCACGCTAAATAGTTAGCCATTATCGCCCCAATAGTTTTAATGGCAATGTGAAACTTACGACATAAGGAAATGTTATCCAACCTGTATCACTTCGAACATGAGACTAAAAAACGATTTCCACATATGGACACAATAATCACTCGTCAAAGCCTCAAAATGAACGACGTCTTTTAAATGTTTTGATGAGAATGTAACATAGAATGTTGTTTAGTAGAGATGATTGAATCCAGACTCCATCAGTACGACATTATTACCAAGACATAACTTACAAAAAAATCCACATATTTTAAGCCTGTTAGAGAGGTTTTAAACTGAAGACATACCACGAGAAGCGGTGGTCTGTGCATCTGCCATGAACTCTGCATACGAAGCCTGATAAAAAAGCAGTTGGATGCACTTGATGAAAAGCACTACAAACATACAATCAGAAGTAAGTAAACGAAACAAAGAAAGACTAGATTAATATACCGCCATTGCTTCCCGACTTTCAGTAATCCTTTGGGTCATCTTCTTGTATTCCTTATCTGCTTCATCCAACACTTGTTGGCATGCCTGGCTCTGGATCTGACGGTACAAAGAGACGTATAATTAGGCGAAAAATTTGTGCCCTAGACTGAATTCCAATGCTTCTCTTCTCTAACTATTACTACCACTGAGTACTAGTTCATCATACAGCAGACAAAACCTTATATTAAATAGACATAAAGTTTTAATTATAAATAAGAATTAATTAGATTTAAATTTATTTTGCTTTAGCAGACCTTATAACAGTAATGAGATTTAATTATGATATGAAAGTGAGATTAAATCAACATAATGTTATTATTTGGCGAAAATTCAAATTTCTGTTCTCTCAGTTATTTTCTCAGCAACCAAACAGACACTAATCCACCAACTCCGAGACTAAATAATGCAAAAGTACGACAACAGAGAATCAATATGAGAGAGAGAGAGAGAGAGACCTTGAATCGCTTGTGGAGGCGAGATTGAGAGGAATCAAAATCCTTGAGGATCTCAGAGTGGGATCTGTCGACGTGGAGCTTGAGATCGCGGAGACGAGAGGAGGCGAGGTGCTTGAGATCAGAAATCGAAGCTAAAGCGTTACTTTTGGGGGATTCCATGAGCGCCACCGCAACAGAGGCTGAGGCTCCTCCTCCGGCAGCGTCGGCAGCCCTCTTGCGCCTGCTGCTGGTATTGAAAATTGGTGATTTCGGTGACGGTTGGTTTGCAGGGGAAGAAGCCACTGGAAATTGCAACCGCGTTTCCAGAAAGTTTGCGGTTAAGCATCTCCGGGTTCGACTTCCGCTTCCGCTTCCGCTTCCGCCGCTTTTCTTCATCTCTCCCGTCGCTTACTCGTCTTCTTTCAGTTTTTCCTCTCTCAGCTCTGTGTTTTGAAAATTTCAAATTTTCTAAGAAAATGGAGTTGGCGCCTTGACAGGTGTCTATTTATATGTACGGGATTTTATATGCACATTTTGGGCTAACAAAATACAGAAATAAAAAATAATAATTGGATCGACCTTCAATGAATTTTATCATTTTCTTTTGTTGGATATTATTTGCTAACTAAAAGGTAGTGAAGTTGTGAAATCTACACTAGAACGTTACATTTGATGTAAACTAAAATGTACAGGTGAGATTTAACGAAACTGATATTATATATTCAACAACCTTCATTATTATTTCGGTGCATCACGGGTAATGTTGTGTTTGGTATATCGTTTTAATAACGGTTAAGGTACTTGAAACATCATAATGATGTGTTTTGTGCAGATTTGGAGGGAACTCCATTTGTCCGTTCCTTAAACCTGAGTTCGAATTTCTCGTACATTAAGAATAACGCTTTGTTAAAAAAAAAAAAAAAAAAAAAAGTGTTGCAAATTCAAGGAACCACGGAACGTTTCAATTGCATGATAGATTAGAAATTCAAGTTTTTAATCTCTTTGGCAATTCTGAATTCAATGTAATTTCAAGATCTTTTAATCAAATGATGCATTAAAACATGAAATTTGAAATGATGGAATTATAAAACCAGAACGCAGAAGTTATAGGAGACTAGGAGCTGGTGAAATTTCTTATTTTTGTATGCCACCACCAAGGAGGGACATGCAATATACATCCCTCCCACAAGTCACAACATGCATCCTGCATTTCAAAGTTTCTGCAAATGTCCTCTTCGGATCTCTGTGTTCGAGCAATGCAATTGTATAGGGTAGCGAGCAGTCATCACTTCACACCAACGTCCTGCAGTTGTGAGTATACAATGGCTTTGCATATATATTGAGGAGTGAGGACATACTAATGTCTTATGGCGCCAACACTTCCCTGATTAGCACCGTGAAGATCTGGGAGGTCGGCGCTGACAGAGAACTTGATCCGCCTCTTTCTCTCAACGTAAGTGAGACATGGCTGCATCACAAGGCCGATCAATATAGCGACAAGGCTCACAACTACGATCTTGAGTGTTGAAAGAGCCAAAACTACACAAATTAGTGCGGTTGGAGGAATACACATAAGAATGGCTCTGACTGTTCCAACGGGTATCTTGTAAGGACGAGATGCAGCTGGGTACTTCACTCTTAACCGTATCAACGATATAAACTCCAAGATCATTCCAAAACAGTACAAGAAGTTTTCTGCGGCTACAATCTCTTGAAAGCTCAACCAAGATAGCGAAAGGACCCCAGAAGCTGAGAACAAAATGCCAATTACTTGGGTTCCATGACGAGAACGCTCACCAAAAACCTTAGGGAGCATCCCTCGTTCTGCCATCCCAAGAAGTTGGAAGGAGTCGCTGCTCATTTCAGCAACAAACATCCCCATGTTCGACACTGCTGCAGCCCCTTGGATCCACCATCTCAACCAAACCCCCCAATTATTTTGGCAATGTCTGAGAAATATCCATCTGTCCACAACTCACGGTCGAGTGGAACAGCCCCAGTACCCATTAAGGGTGGGAAGAGATATCCAAGAACAACTAATATCAAAGCGTAAACAGAGCCTTTGGGAGAGTTTTCTTTGGGTTTTCTACCTCTCCGGCAAGTGTACTTATCGAGTCCCAATAGTTGAGATTCCAAAGGAGAGTGTTGAGATACAAATTCCAGTCCACATTGTGTAGCTTTACAACCAGCCATCAATATGGCTTCACGTTGGAATCTGCAGGTCCACAATGTAAAGCTGCACTTCAAGAAACTACTCGTATCATTGAACAAAGTCTAACAACTAATGGAAAAGCAATAAGGGCGTTGTTTGGTGCAACCCAGGTTGGAATTTCACACTTTGCACCCACCATTTGTAAATCATGAGTCCAGTTCCCACCGGTGGGATATATTTTTTTTTTTTTTCACTTGTCACTTGATATGACCAAGTCTGTGTGCAGCTTGGCATTGATGGTGACTTCATGTATTTTCTGACGGATGCTGGTGTTATAGCGGTAAAGTTACTTCTTTCTTAGTTTTGTCACTCCGTTTTCAGTTTAACAAATTATTGATGTTTATTTGCTTGACACTTTGCAGTTTCAATATAGAAATCCCGATAGAGTGAGTTGCAAAGGCGAGGGATAGAGATGAAAGAGAGGGAGGGGAGGGAGAGTGAGAGAGATTGAGAGTTTTGTCGAGAGACAAACAAATTTTTGGACGGTGGAAACGGTCCTGGTCGGGGACCGTTTCCTTAGCAATTAGGACTCGCCCCACTCCGTCCCGTTCCAGATTTAAAAAAAATTGGACCCTCCCCTACCCGCAGGTCCATGCCCGTTTGCCCACCCCTAGTTGTGATTGTTGTTGGATATCATATAATATTATTACAATGTCTAGGGTTTGGGAATTGTTATAACTTTAGGGGAGGTTCTGCTGAAATTTTGGTATAATTTGTAGTGTTTGTTTGACTATTTTTTTTTTTCAGCAAAGAAAAATACCCAGGGACCGTGTCGCAAGTTGAAGATGGCGAAGGTCACCCAAGTGACCAACGGACGTATCACGATCAGATACGATGGCTGACATCAGGCTGCACCAACGCTGGAGCAACATAGTGCATTGGCCCACGACATTGTTCACGTCGTTCAGACTTATTGCCCTATGCGATAGAAGTCTTGAAAGGCGATGCCAGATAAGGTGAGGATGAAGGTGCGCACTTATTTGTCGATAAGTATCCTACTTTTTATTGCTTTTTTTTTTTAATTTTATATATTTATATTACTTAATGTATGTAATTAATTTGTTACATTGCAAACGAATTACAATTTTGATGACATCAACACAATATGTTGGTGTACGTCAATAGGCTCTTCACTGAACGATACAAGCAGTGGAAGAGAGACATGCACCAATATTTCTAACATTTGATGATTCGTCGGTCGCTCTTGAGGAGGGTTGCCCGAAAGAGTTTGAGGATCGGGAAAAATTGGGTGTGGCTCTGCAGTCATTTTCAGGAGCCCGGTTATGTGGTACGTTTTTTTATTTTTTATATTAAGTCTAAAAGTATTTATGTTTCTTACTAATGTTTATTAATTTTTATGTTTCATTTAAATTAGAACTAATACATTTTTTTTTGTATAACAGAAGAAGACAAAAGCCAACAAAAAATCAAGAGAAGAAGACTCTTCTCCACCATTCGGGTTCGAGGCCCTTCTCATATAGGATGGAGGCACGGTGACAGGTAATAATAAAGCTTTTCATATTCAATTTTTAATATGTCAGTAATATTAATTTTTCTTTCACTTCAAGAAATCCATTGAAAACTTACTAAATTGTCTTAACACTTGGGCAATTTGATTCTTACTGTTGGAGGAAAGATCAGCAGTTTTCAGTTATACTGCCGAAAGGAAGAATACAAGAGAAATACATGGAGGAGGATGAGTTTTGAATGGGGACTGAAATTTACTTAATTATTTGTTTTCTTTTTATTACAACACTAGGCCATCTTATTGGCTATTTATAATAACATTCAGACTTTCGATAACAGG